ACATAAACAAGACCTCTGTAACTCCCATCATATCAGTGTCATAAACATGCTAGAATTCAAATAGTTGTGATTATAACTTCATTATTGGCAAACTGTTTAGAATAAGGTTTACTATTTACTTACTTAAAAGGGTTTAATACTTTCATTGTTAGAAATAGTTTTTTGTGGAATTGATAAAAGCTGTCACTGTATAGTGTAAATCCACCTCCAGAGTTTCACTAAGATCTTTAGACTTAACATGTAGATTATTTTGACAAAAAAATTATTCTCCTTGAAATCTTTCATATTTACAATCAGATGTGTCCATATATGTCACTATCCATATCTAGAAACTTGCCTGTTTGAAAAATGCAGGTGAACCAATGTAAATACAGTACAGGCAATAACTTAATTAGGGGCTGAGGACACAAATAATTTACTTAACCCTGCAGCTGGTCTTTAAAATATTACTATAAAGCTTTAAAGTTAATAATAGATTTTTAATATTTACTTAGAAAACTACCTTCAAGTTTTAAAAAAGATAACAAACCGTTTGCTCTTGAACTAAACAAGGACATATTAAAATTTAAGCCTTCTTTGTTTAAAGAAGTAAAACTTAACTGGAGTAAATACTGCCTGTTAGTTTAGCGATAAGCTCCGCTCCTGTCTGCCCACTAACTCAACAAACACAGATTAAAAAAAAATAATAATTCAACTTAAGGGATAGAAGATTGTCAATTCGCTTAAAGTTTATTTTAACACTAAATTCAATTACTGAACTACTTTATTAGTCAAAATTGTACTCAAAAGACCTTCCAAATGTCTGATTAATGTACAGAAATGAAGATGCCCAAACTGATGTCAAAACATTTCTCTATAATTTTCAAAAGTACATTTGTCTATTATCTAAAATAAACAATTAGCACCATATATGTCAAGTGCTTAAGGTAAAACATGAAAATATGAACATTTGATTCCAAGTTACTAACTTACAACTTCCATTAAATCTTGAGATTGTCAGCTTTATCTATTAAATATTTTTCAAAGCAATTCACAGTTACACACAGTTCTAACATGCCTTTTGTTATTTCAGACTAAAGAAAAGGATTCCTAAAATATCATTTACTGAATAAAGAAAGGATGGATGAGTGCAGGCAGTCCCCAAGTCACTAATACCTATGTCTCAAGTTTGTTTGCAAGTTGTTTTCCTGGAATTCATTTTCATCTCATGTATAAGTAGTAGGTAATTTTCTAACTTTTCTACAAAAGCTGACATTTCTCATGGTCCCTTTCTTTCATTAACTCTTGGTGGTTATTCATGTATTTACACTATACAGAAACAAGGTTTTCATGAGAAGAAGCTGTCTTAGAATTCAAAGGTGATATCTGACACATAGGATTTATCCTTTCATTTAGATTCAGGGCCTGGGGCTTACAGATTATTCATCTCAGGAACAAAAAAGTAGGTAGCTGAAGTTGGACCTTCGGTTTTAACAGACAGCAGGAAGAAGGAAAGGGATGGTAAAAGGGGATTTAGATATAATCTGACTAAAGAAAAATGAGTGAGAGGCAAAAGGAAAACTAATGATCTACTGACTACTTCGCTACTTTGTGTCAGGAACAATGCCCAACCCCAAGAGGCAAGAATTGTCATCTTCCTTTTTCAGATGGGCAAACTGAGGCTCAAATAAGACAAGTTATTCACGCAAATCATATTTCTTATGGTCTCTTGCCTAAAGCTAATAGTCATTCATAAGTTCAGAATGGAATGAAAATTCAAGTCAAGGTTTCTCCAAATCTCAGGTTCCAGATTCACCACACTTGGAGGTATTCCAATTCCTCCTAAAACTGGCAGGATGGCAGAGTCCCTAAAAGCACCACTCCAAAATAAGAGTTAAATTTCTGTCATTAAAAACAAAGAAACAAAACAACCAGACAAAAAGTGTATACAATGTACCCCAAACCAAAAGTTGAGAAAGTAAGAGAGGATTGATGATCAGTTAAAATCTTTCTCTTCCAAAGCATCAGTATTTCTTAATCCACTGATATTCCTAGTTAGTTCTAGATAAGGGATTACCTAGGATAGGCAAGTACCTTTTATTCTTAATTTTGTTGAAACTACCTTTACTGTATTTTCCCTTACGACATATCTAAATGTGGATTCTATCACCGCCACTTGCTAGCTGTGTGACCTTGAACAAGCCTCTTAACCTTTCTATGTGCCTTACTTAGTTTTCTCAACCAAAAAACAGAGAATTGTGCTTAGCTTGCAGGATTACTACGTAGATGACAGAGAATCCACATAGAGGGTCAACTACAGCAAACAGGCACATCATAACCACTAGCCCAGACCTCTCTTCAAGCTTCAGATGAATGTTTCTTTGGGGGGGGGGTAATTAGGTTTATTTATTTCTGGGGATTGAACCCAAGACTTTGTGCATGCTAAGCAGGCACCCTACCACTGAGTTGTACCCTCCCCCTCTGGATGAGTGTTTATATCCCTATCAGACTCTTCAACTTCGGTGAAGAACTCAGTGCTCTTTTTGCTTCAGGTGTTTCTTCTCTAATAGCCCTAATCTCTGAAACTCTGTGTCGTCTTCCCAACAGTTGGTCACCACACGGGCAGTGATTCTACCTCAGAGATTTCTCCTCAGCAGTCTCTCCCAGCCACCCCTGCCTCAGCTGAGGTCTATGTTGCTCAGACTGCTGCCAGCACTCTGACGACAGCCGCTCTGCCACCATTCTATCCCCACTCCTGGGTCCCCTCCAAAACCCACCAGATCGCTCTCTCTTAAAAGAATAGAAACTAAACCAAACCCCAAAAAGGAATCTGATCCCATCAGTCACTTGCTCGGAAGCCTCCTTTTAGCTGCCAGCTGCCTGTAAGTGCCTAGAAAGTAGAAGCACGCCTCCTGCACAGGCATGAAAGCTGCTCACCCTCCAACCACAGCCTGAAACAGAACCCTATCTGCCACTTTCTCAAGACCTTCTGCTCTAACCACACTGAACTTCTCTGGTCCCTGAGTACACAGGCCTTGCCGTGCATGAAACCATGCTAGCTCTATGCTCTTTCCTCTGCCTAGAATGCTTAGAATGCCCTCTCTCAACCAGATAAATTACTACCTTTCCTGTGCTATGGACTGAGTATCTGTGTCCCCTCAAAGTTCATACATTGAAACCTAATGCTTGATGTGATGGTATGTGGAGATGGGGGCCTTTGGGGTGATTAAGTCATGAGAGCTCTGTTCTTATCAAAGAGGTCACAGTGTGCTCCCTTACCCTTTCCACCCAAGTTACAGGGTGAAGAAAGCTGTCTATGAATCAGGAAGTGGGTCCTCAACAGACACAAAATCTGCCGGCACTGGGATCCTGGACTTCCCAGACTCCAGAACTGTGAGAAATAAATCTCCGTTGATTATAAGCCACCCATTCTACAGTATTTTGTTACAGTACCCTGAATAGACTAAGACATTCTTTAAAACCAGTTCATGTATCATCTCTTCAACAAATGTTTCAAGATTCCTCCAGCACGGTAAGGCATTCTGTTTTCTTTTTAACACTGAATTCTCATTCAGTATTATCCAGAAGCTGTGAATACATCAGTGAATAAGACAAATTCATTCTGCCTTTGAAGCTTTGAGATACAATGCCTATCAGAAAAGACAATTAAATAAGAGATGATAATTTCTTGTAAGGAGCATGTTATAATAACAGAGTACTACGAAAGTGTGTAAGAAGGGGAACTCATGGAATATTATTCAGCCTTAACAAGGGAGAAAATCCTGTCACATGCCACAGCATGAATGAAACTTGAGGACATTTTGCAAAAGGAAATAAGCCAGTCACAAAAGGACAAATACCGTACAATTCCATTTATACGAGGTATCTAAAATAGTCAAATTCACAGAAACAGAAAGTAAAACGGTGGTTACCATGAGCTGAGGGGAGGGGAAAAAGGGGAATTGTATGGGTACAGAGTTTCAATTTTACAAGATGAAAAAGTTATGGAGATCTGTTTCACAAAATGTAACTATACTTAACACTACTGAACTATACACTCAAAAATGGGTAAGATGGCAAATTTTGTTTTGTATTTTTCACCACAATTAAAAAAAAAAAAGACGAAGAAGAAGGGAGCCAGTCTAATCATGGTCAAAGGTAGCCTATAAATGAAATGACACTTAGGCTGAGACCTATCCGAGCATCTAACTTCTTCAACCTCGCCCACATGGTTAATGCTCAGTCCTCCCCTGACCTCGCCCATCAGCATAAGCGAAGGCAGCTGACCACTCTGTCACCCCCGAAACACCTCCTCCACTTGGCTTCCAAGACAGAGCCCTTGCCTGATTCCTCCCACTTCATCAGCCACTTCTCATTCTCCTTTGCGGGTTCCTCCTATCACCTCAGTCTCTAAACACTGGAGTGCCTGGAACCCAATACTCAGGACTCTGCTTGACTCAGGACTCTGCTTGAGACACACACACTCCCTTAGTGATCTTACGGAGCCAAGTCTAATGCACTGTTTCTCAATCGTGTTTTCATGATCACTCCTTCATGGATAATTATTTTAAACATTTTTCTTCTAAATTATCCCATCTCCATTAATTAACTGCTAAAGAATAAGACTGTGTTAGGCAGGGTTGAGTTTTGGAGAAGACTACTGTAACATCTAAGATCTTTTTCACCCCCCCAAGAACAAATTTTTGCCCCCTTTGGAGTCCTACTGTCCCTGTTGAGAATATTGTCTCTAAGTGGAAGGCTCGCACAATTCAGCTCCAGCACGGACCTCTTCCCTAGACTCCAGGCATCTACACAACCCCCTTTTTGACATCACCACCAGGATTGTTAATAGGCATTTAAAAAAACCCCAGCAAACTCTGGATCTTTCCCACCAGATCATGTCACCTCCCTATTTAGAACCCTCCATGCTTACACTCCTCTTTTTGTCAAAAAGGCCATCTTAGGTGCCTACAAGGCCCAGGTGAGGAGCACCATTCTCCTTCACCCCGACCTCATTTCCTGCTCTTCCCATCCTTCACTACGTTCCAGCCACACTGTCCTCCCCACTACTGCCCAAATACGCCAGCTCTGCACGGGGTATTCCTTCCAGTTAGCAAAGTACTGCATCCTTCTGCAGACAAAGCTTTGTGGAGCACAGACCTGCTTACTCATTTAAGTAGTCTACAGCTGCTTTCCCACGACACTAGCAGAGATGAGGAGCTGCAACAGAGATCAATGGCCTGCCAAGTCTAAAATACTTACTATCTGGCTCTTTATAGAAGAAGTGTGCCGACCCCGGACTTGCAGCACTTTTCCCTCAGATGACCATACAGGTTGCTCTCTCACTTCCTTCAAGTCATTGCTCAAATATGATCTCAGTGAAGCCTTCCCTCATCAATCTGTCTTAAAAGGCAGCCCTGTCCCACCCACCCCTAGTCCAGCATGCTCTCTGCCCCGTTGCCGCCTTAATATTTTTCTATAGCACTTATCGTCTGACATTCTACATTTGACTTATTTATCTTGTTTGTTGCCTGTCTTCCCTCACCTAGAATATAAGCTCCACCAGGACAGAATTCTCATTTTGTCTGTTGTATTATCTCCAATGGTCTCTGACACAGAGGAGGTGCTCAATAAGTATTTGGTGAATGAATCAATGTTAAGCACCTAGTAAATACTTACGGAAAAGGGGGAAGGGATGCTAGGCATAGAGAACTGCACGTGTGAGGGCCCGCCACCAAAGAGAGTGCAGCATATGTAAAGTACTTCTATCTCCGTAACATCAAATACTGAGCTGTATTAAACTTCACCGATGTACAGGTTTGGTGCCCTAAATGGACTCTCTTACTCAATGAGAGGAGCTGTGTCCAACTCTCCATTCTACTCTCAGTGTCTACACTTCTGTCTGATACCTAAATCCCTTCCACAGCCCCAGAAGTATCCCAGAGCTTCTGCCTCAACAGGTCTAGTAACCAGGAGCTTCTGACATAGAGACTGCCTGTTTCTTTTCTGCACACATAAAAGTTCAAGTGAAATCTCTCACTATGTAATTTTAACGAATACCTACCTGACCACAGACAGATGGAATATATTATTTTCTGTGACCCTTCATTTCCTCATTTGTGAAAAGGAGACTGTCATTTGTTTGCTTACAATTACAAAGGGTTTTTGTTGAGTACTAAATAAGATACTGTACGTGAAAATGCTTTGTAAATGCAAACATTATATAAACAAAGAAAAGAGCAGTTATGGTTATCTAAACTGCTCTTAAAAGGTTATTCTGCACGTATTTGACTTATAGGAACAAAACTCCACTCAGAGCACTTTTATATTTCTCTTTTAGAAAGATACTCCGTGTTCTTTCTAGCAATATGTTCTAATTCATCTTAATCCTTATAGCCATACTATGCCATACTTCATTAGGCTTAACAAAAAGATTCAAAGTGAAGAAATGGAGGATGAAGGCAGGGAAAATGAAAGGGAAAGAAAGCAAGGCATTGCTTGTGTGTGGAAACAGTAGAACTGAGAGTCAAGGAACATGGGTTTAAGACCCACCACTAGGGGTGTGACTTTAGACCTGGGTTTCTTAACCTTAGCACTACTGACACTTTAGGCTTTCTTGATGGGGGCTGTTTGGTGCATTGTGAAATGTTGGGCAGCTTCCCTGGCCTCTGCTCACTATGTATCAGTATTACTCCTCTAGCTGTGACAGTCAAAAGGTCTCCAGACATTCCCAAATGTCCCCAGAGGACAAAATCACCCCTGTTTTGAGAACCACTGCCTCAGATTAAGACTTGATATCTTCACAGTGTAGTTGCATCTATAAAATGAAAATGTTTACCTATCGACCTAAGATCGCTGGCTCTAAAAATGCTAAAATTCTATAAAAGATCAGAATAAAGAGGACTAAAAGTGCAGTCTTACTAAAGGGGAGCAAATAATGTCATGAAAGGAGTTAGTATTTTAGTTCAGTTTCCCTTATTACCTTAATAGATAATGATAAAACTTCCTTGTACACTCAAAATGATTCAATTATAAAATCTTTTAAAAATACAGCAAGAGAATCGGGTTATTTTCAAAAGTGTCAGTATCAAAAGACTAAAAAGGTGTAACGATTATTCTAGACTCTACATTAAAGGGACATGATAACCAAATGCAATGCATTATTTTGGATTTAATTCTGTATTTTTTTCAACACAATGATGCATTTGAAGTGCTTAATATAGAGCCTAGTACTTTATTACATGATTTTTTTAAAGGTTATACTCCATTTATAGTCATAAAATATTTGCTGAATTCCCCATGTTGTACAATATATACTTGTAGGTTATTTTGTACCTAATATTTTATACTTCTTAATTCCCTACCTCTATATTGTCCCTCCCCCTCTCCTTTCCCCACTGGTAACCACTAGTTTGTTCTCTACATCTATGAGTCTGCTTCTTTTATGTTATATTAACTAGTTTGTTGTATTTTTAAGATGCCACATATATGTGGTATCATACAGCATTTATCTTTCTGTCTGACTTATTTCACTTAGCATAATGTCCTCCAAGTCCATCTACGTTGCTGCAAATGGCAGCAGTATGGCTGAGTGGTATTCCATTGTGTGGGTATGTATATGTATCACATCTTCTTAATCCAGTCACCTTTTGATGGACACCTAGGTTGCTTCCATACGTTGGCAACTGTAAATAATGCCGCTATAAACACTGGGATGCATGTATTTTTTAGAATTAGTGTTTTTGGTTTTTCTTGGATATATATACCCATGTTGAATCCAGGTGAAAGGTATGCCAGCATTCACTGTATTGTTCTTACAACTCTTCTGTAGGTTGGAAATTTCTCAAGATAAAAACTTAAAAAAATACATCCAGTATACAAATCCAATTACACCCACAATGGATCTGTCATTGGCCATAGCACACACACCTTTACTAACATTTTATTAAATACTTTTAGCTAATGCTCTTCATTCTGTCAGTCCCCTGGGATAGCTGGAGGCCCTGTTGGGGATAAGCTACTCTGAAAAAGCAACCTGATCTGATGCTGCTCATCCCCACCCACCCTTCAGAATCACTGCAATAAGCTATGATCTCCTTGAAGGCGGGCATGTGTTTTAGCAATCAGAAGCCAGACCAGAGCCAAAGGCATTCAATAAATATTTGTTCACTGCTGAACAAACAGTTCCCATACTACTGCTTCTTTCCTCCTCCTACTTCCTCCACACACCCTTTTTAAAAAAAAATTACTGGGGTTAAGAAAGGAGGAGTAAAAAATGAACAGTGTGTCAATCAATAGCCTTACTTCAAAATAAACTCATTTAGATTAATAGTAACATCATTAATCATTATTATAGCGATAAATGAGACAAATAAGTAGGACAATCTAGAACAAAACCAACACTAAAACTCAGTTTACTGTTTTAATTAATCTGTAGCATATTTCTCTCTCTTCTCCAGAAATGACCAACTCTGCAAAAAATCTCCTTACTGAAGCTGAGCTCAACTAAGACATGTAACAAAGCTACATGAAAACAGACTGGCAAACAGCCCTATTGTCAAAGGCTTGTTTCTTTCAGCATGCATTATGTTCTTTCCTGTCTGTGATATTTTTCTATGAGCTACAGAAAAACTTATAAAGCAGAGGGAGTGGTACTTAACACCAAAGTTCAAATGTAATGAGTAATGTCCGAAACGGTGTCTACAGAAAGACACTGGCAACAGTTCCAAAAAGTTCCTTCCCACGAACTGTAAAACAAGGTAAATACCATGACAGAAATCTGCTGTAGGACTTCCAAAATACTTGTGACCTTCAAGCCATGGTGTAGGTTATTTTAGGTAAGATTCACTTTAAGAAATGATTTGATGTACATGAATGGAGGAGAATGTGTTCCAAAATGGTGATGCAAACTAAATATTTTCCAGATCAGATTCTTTTATGTGTTTCCCTGGTCTTTACCAGAAATACAGAAGATCAGACCCTGTCCTCAAAAGACTCACAATTCAGTCTGGATGACAAATACATGAATATTTCCAATACAGTGGGTAAATGCTGACAGAGGACTGAATGTAAGGATTTCTATTCCAGCTCAAGAAGGGACTTTTAACTAAGTGGAGGGGAAGAGTAAACGGGCAGAAGCGTGAATGGAAAGAAGAGAGTATCAAGCTCTAACAGAAAACTACTGGAAAACCTGATTAACAGTGCATGTGGTATGTTAGCATTTGGAATCTTCTGAGAGTTGCTAGACTGAAATAAAGATGTCCAATACCTATCTCTGCCAACTTGTGGAGAAAGGATCAAGTACAAGGATCAGTTTGATGTCACACAGTGCTATGGACTAAGTCTCATGGTCCAATATGGCAAGAGAAGAGGAAAGAGGGAAAGGAGGACAGGCCAGGTAGGAGAAAAAGCAAGCATGTACATAGGCAAGGAGCCATAAAACAACTTGGCATATTTTAAGGCTGATTTTTTTTTAAGGTATCCTCTAACAGTTAATCAACATGCACTGTTTTATTTCTGTATTCATTAAAATACATAATTAAGTCAAGTGTTATGTTTTTAGAATATTAACACCTTCCCAAGGCATCATTCAAAATGTTTAATTTCCAACCTGTAAGTGTATAATACTTCCCAGTTCATATTTATGATAATTACTGTATTTGATACATAGAGAATAAAAAGGTAGTTTTAAGAAAGTAAGATATACAAATTAGGCATTATTTCAAGAGACTGGTATACTGACTATTAAATGCCCAGTACTCATGTGCAACTGTGGACAGACTCAGGCAGGGGATCACTAACCCTCGTCAGGTTTACAAGGATGCTAAGTAGACAGATGGACACAACACCTTCATAAATGACAGCACGTGCTCAACCTTCCCCTCCTCAACCCTCAACACCTTTTATAAACCTATCAATTAACAGGTGACATTAGAAAGTGCTGAATGAGAAAGCAAGGTAAACAAGATAAACATCTTTGAGGGAGAAAAAAATGAATCAAATGTCAATTTTGCCCCCCTAACCGAAACTAGCATCTAACAAAGGAAATGGTGGTGATTAAAATACAGCAAGTGTGTGAGGAAGGATATACTAAAGATGATCTACAGTAAAAGACTTCCTCATATCAGAAAGACAGTGTGTTAAATGTACAAAAATACTTGGTGAGAAGCAGAAGTTCTCTTCCTGACTCAGCTAGTGATCCAAGAGTCAAGGTCCCCATCCCTAAACTGATGAGATTTAACACCACAAGATCCCAATGGTCCCATCCAGCTTTGAAACAGATCTTCAATTTCAATCTTTAAATCTACAGCTTTTAGTATTGCTTATTGGAACACAGAGAGAAGAGGGCAGGAAATATTCTGTTCTACAGATAATTTTTCTGTTTTATAAAGTGTATCTTGCCAGGTATTCTTGATATTTCTCTCCCATATTATAATCATTGTGACGTGGGCAAATCCAACGTAACTCAGCATTGATTCTGATCTTCGCTCTTAACAAATGCTTGAAATTCCTTTACCACAGATATGTTTTATACTCCAACTTAAAAACCTCAAAGTAACGAAAAGCTTGCCTGTTATTCTACATAGATGTCAATATATCTGTACACATATCATGAACCAATTGTTTTTATGGTGCAAATTTATATATTACACATACATTTTTTGCCTGGTGTAACTTCAGCACTGAGAATACTGATTGTTCAATAGATGCCTGATGTCTTCTCAAAAACAAATATGATATATAAACTAGTGAAATATAGGATAATCTGCTGCTACTGTAACTCACCAAAATGAAGCAGACATCACGAGAAGGAAATCTGACAAAACGAATATTACTAATATTTTTAAAGTATTACAGTATTTTAGCAAAGACAGTTCACTCCAAAATAAAACCACAATTTTTAAAAATGATAACAAACTAAGGATTCCTAATGTTATTAATCCTAGAAATGTTTTTCATTTACATAGTTACTGCTATTTCCGACATCATTAAGTCTTTCTAAAATCAACAACATTCCTTAGCTTTAAGATGGCTTTTTTGTTTTGGTATTGTCAACAATCATAAGAGATTTTTAGACTAAACAAAGACCAGCTCGTAGAGGAATTTCTCTTTTCTTGATTAAAAAAAAGAATACACATTCATGACTTTAGGACAAAAAGTAATGACATTTAGTTGAAGTAATTAGCATCATTCTTAAAAAGAAATGCTAGTTGAGATAATAACAGATCTACTAATATTAAACACTCAACAAGTAAGTAAATACAAATTCTGTACATTCCATGGCATTAAAGAAATATCACTTGAAAAAAAAAACATTCTGTTTCCTGGCAATGGATACCACTACAGATCAAATTACATCACAAAAAATTGTTGAGGACTATTCAAATGCTTTTGATAGATCTAATCTCTTCATTTTCAACTCATAATTCTTCAAGGCCTCAATTTTCTTAATTATAACATTATAATTTATTGGGCACAGAGCAGAAGAAATCCACCAGCCTTGAAACTATAACAGAGAAGGGACTATGTGTGATTGGTTCACCACTGTACTCCCTATATCCAGCTCAGTACCCAGCATACAATCAATGCCCAATAAAAACCTTCTGAATGAGTAGCTGTTTTGTTAAATGGGCTGGTAACTGTTTTGCTGCTCTGACATTTTAGTGTAGTGTCTGTTTTTATCACTAGAATTTATTTTATATCATTATTTAATATAAATCTAGAGTTTTTCTTCTGAGAACTCTTTATTTTTTAAAAAATTTTTCTGTGATTTTTTTTAACATTTTTTATTGATTTATAATCATCTTACAATGTGTCAAATTTCAGTGTAGAGCACAATTTTTCAGTTATACACGAACATATATATATTCATTGTCACATTTTTTTTCTCTGTGAGATACCATAAGATCTTGTATATATTTCCCTGTGCTATACAGTATAATTTTGTTTATCTATTCTACAATTTTGAAGTCCCAGTTTAATTACTTTCTATTTAATAAAAATATCAGCAGTCTCACCCTCTTAAAAATGTGTAAATAGACACGAAAGTGTACATTAAAGTACATAAAGACAGAAAGAGTCAAGTGAGTGGAATGCTTTCTGGAAACAGGAGATGAGATTGGGTCTGGAGCCCACCAACAGCCCCACAATGCTGAGTAACAGTAGACAAGAGAAAGCCTTGTTGGCCAGGTGTGCATCTAATTCCATCCCTTTGGCAAAGCAAAGCAAAACAAACAAACAAAAAACTATGCTCCAAAGACAGCTGCTTCTAAGATACAGTCACAGACCTTGGAGTTTTGGAGTCTGGCAGGTAATCTAAAGGCCAATCTAAACACACTGGGGTTATAGATAACACAGTCCTAAAACAACCAGCAAAGCAAAACGCTCTGAGAGCTGAGATATTAGGCGAGGGCTGGAGAAACATGCCAAAAAGGAGAAAGGCAGGAAAAGCAATTACACAGAGTTCCATCAAGGCTTAAACCATGACTCAAATTTGAGAAGTCCTGCTCAACCACATCTTCTAAGACACAGTTCTCGTGTAACTGAAACTAATTAGAAACTATCTAATAGGTAGATAATCAAATATGAATTCTGGATTTTCAAAAAATGTTTCCAATTATATGTTAGGAAGCAGTATACTTTTTTCTGTATTTCACTCAGATAAAACACATATTAAATCTTTTTATATTTAATTTTCATCGGTAACAGTTATTGTTTTGTTTTGTTTTCTCAGTAGCAAGGTTTTAAAATAAATTTGGAGTGTAGGCAAAATTCTCCTAAGAATCATGATACTTTAGCTTTTTTTTTTAAAGCTATTTTCACTTTTAATGGACACCACAGTTTGGTTTGTCTTCATTTAATAAAGTTTATATACTTTTCAGAGGCTCGTTAATTTTTTTTAATTCAGAAAAATACAGAGAGAATTAGTAGTCCTATCACTCAAAAATAATAGTACTAGTGTTTTAACACCAGCTTATTTTAAAAATCAGGTGTGTATGTCTACATGTGCTATTTTCCGAAAGGCCTGATAGCTTTTAATTTCTCAAAGATGTCAATGAATGACAAAAAGTAACCACAGATCTAGCGCAAGATGTCCATTTTACAGATGAGAAAACAGGCTTACTGACTTGAGAGGCAAACTGACTTGTCCAACACATAGACAAGAACCCTGAAGAGAAAGTCTCCCAAATCCCTGGTTCAGTACTCTTTCAAATACCATTTGACTTTTTATTTCACTTAAGACGTTTTTTCCATCCATTTTATTTCTCTATCCAATCAAATATTGTGAGCCTAGGGTCCTAGGGACACAGAGATAAAAAGAAATAATCCCATTCCTCAACCCTAATGGAAACACAGATACATACATATAAACATGTACCTTTAGTGTATCTACAAAATGCAGTGGGAGAATGTGGTGGTGTAAGACAAGTGTACCTTGAGGAGAAATGGCACTTGAGCTAATGGTGAAGAATGAATCCATGTTAGCCAGGCAGATGGATGCTGGGGTTCGAGGGTGAGAGTGAGGAAACAGATGGCCCCTGAATTGCAAGGGAGAACATGGCACTGGAAGGCAGGAGGTAAGACCAGATAGATAAGGACGGAGACCTTGAAAGAAGGGAATTTAGAGTTTACCTATAGGAATAAGGAACCACCAAAATTTCTGAGCAAGGTTATCCCATAACTAAAATTTGCATTTTACAAAGATCTTTCTGGTACCAGTGAGCAGCACAGAGAAACATTAAGAAAGAGACATGAACAAAACAAGGGTAGTAACAGAGGGGCAGACAGACGTGGCAGGAGGGAGATTTAAGGTTAGAATTAACAGGCTTTTCAATAAGAAAAGGGAGTAAGAAGTCTAAAATAAATTAAACAATTAATAGATGGTGTTGTCGTCTGTATATGGAATGCCTTCATATTTTCTAGGATCTGAAATAAATTCTAAATTGCTACCAAAATGCTACATTGTAGATTTCAAACATACGTTTCAGAAAGCAATTCAATTTTCAACCAAAATTGCCAGTATAAGAGTGAGAAATGCAAAGAAGGAAAAAAAAAGCCAAAAATATTGACCTGTTTATGAAAACCTAGATTCTCAAAGTACACAAAGCAGAATTTGAAAAGTTTTGACCACAGATTATCTGACCAATGAATCTTTCTAGAAAAGATTTTAATTTCACAAACCATTTTGGAAACCTACTGATAAAGAATGTATCATGTTTACTAAGTTTTTTTAATAAAATATTGCTAACATAAACATTAAACTTAAGTAAGAGCACATCAAATGCTGCTACCTGAATTCTACAATGCAAATAACTGGCTAAGACATTAAGGAAAGCAAACGGTGTGCTGGAACTTATCTTAAGAAGTGAGTCTTTGGCGGGCACCTAAGATGCTACTTATTTCTAAGAGGAAAAATAAAATCTTCAGCTTAGCCCTAGAAAAACCTTTGTATCATGGCTGAAGCATTTTCATTTCTGGAAAGATTATCAGAACACAATTTTGACTTAATTGTGTTAGCTCTTTTCTTCAGAACAATTAAAAATAAACCAAATCTAATGTCACCAACTACTAATATGAACTCAAAAATTTTTTATAAATCAGTTGTGACTGAAAGATGTTTCAATATTGAACAATAAAAATTCCTATGATAATAATGAGAATGAGAAATACAAACTTACAGAAGAAACTAAAACTCCTTAGAAGGAAGGTGAGAAAAAAAATTCACTTTTGAAAATGAAGCACAACTTTCAGCAGGGCCTCTGCAATGTAGAATTCTCAGACTGAAACGTCCCTGTATCTGAATATCTCAGGTACCTGAAAGCGTACTTCTTTATGAGCCCAGCTTTCTTCCTCTTTCTTTCTTTTTTTTTAAACTAAAATCTTGCTAATAAACTGTATTACATATCCCTGACCTTTCTTAAAAAGAGCATACTGCAGCTTTTTCTTGAGCATGGCATCATTAAGAACAGTTAAAATCTTAGGGTCACACAGCATGTAAAGCTGCTCCACATCACCCTATACAAACTGGCAACCCTGCTTTGCTTTTTTCAAGTTTCTCTGTCCCCTCTCATACCCCTGAGCTGCCACCTGTCTCTTCTCACTACTGTCAAGTGTACTTGCCTCTAACAGCCCATCACCTCATGTTTGGACTACAAAAAACTTCATTTGCTACTTGTAATCTGATAGGAAACCAAGTATTAAAACTTATTTGAACTATCTTTTTTTAAAAAAAACAAGCTAAAACACATGAGTGAAATGCATGATCTTTAGGGCATTAAACGTATGGGGGC